CCCTAGGTGCTTGTTTCAATCCGTAAAGTGCTTTTCGTAGCTTACACACATACTCAGGATGATCTTGACTCTGAAAACCCATTGGTTGGGTCATGTAGATCTCTCGATCTAGCTCTCCATGAAGAAAAGCATTCTTCATATCCATCTACCACAAATTCCAGTCTTTGTTGGCTGCAAGTGCAAGTAGAACTCGTACGGTTGTAAGTTTTTCCACTGGACTAAATGTTTCATCATAGTCTAGTCCATACTATTGAGAGAAACCAAGAGCTGCTAATCGTGCCTTGTACCTCTCGATTGACCCATCTGGACGACGCTTTATCTTGTAAACCCATTTACAAGATATGGGTTTCACATCTTTTATCTTTGGCACAAGATCCCAAGTTTGATTTTGCTGAAGTGGATCGATCTCTTCTTTCATAGCTGTCATCCACTCAGAACTCTGTGATGCTTCTTCGAACGTCTCAGGCTCTGTTATTTCTTCAATTATGGATGCATTGGCATATTTAGGATTTGGCCTTCGTATTCTTGTTAACCTTCGGAGTTGATATTGTGGAATTGATTCTTCTGTTTCACTAGGCCCACCTTCTTCATTTAGTTGTTGATACACGCCAGTTTGCAAGGATTCTGAGTCACTCTTTGTTCGACGTCATCGTTATTTGGATCTTCTGATTCATCTGAATTTGTTTGGAGTTGAACAACTTGCACCCCATCTTTTGTTGTAGCTTGTCTCCAAATTCTCTCGAATCTGGCAACACCTCCTTCTCTGAGGACTACCAAGAAGATACTTCATCAAATACCACATTTCGTGATGTGTAGCATCTTCCACTAATTGGATCACAACATTTCCACCCCTTTCTCTGGCTATCATATCCCACAAAGATACATTTAATAGCTTTCTTGTCAAATTTGCTCAGTAAATGATCAGGAACAAACACATAACATACACAGCCAAATACTCAAAAGTAACTAATTGTAGGTTTTATGTTCCATAATTTCTCAAAGGGTGAAACAAATCCTAACCTTGGTTGAGGAAGTCTGTTGATCACAAAGGCTGCAATCCTCATTGCTTCATCCCAAAACCTTCCAGGTACGTTCTTTGCATGTAATATACTTCAAAAAATTTCTGTAAGATGTCGGTTTTTTCTTTATGCTACACCATTCTGTTGTGGCGTGTTGGCACAAGTGTACTGATGACGTATTCGACATTCCCTTAGGTATTGAGAGAACTCGTTTGATCTATATTCTCCTCCGTTGTCTGTGCGCAAGCAACATATCTTCTTTCCCACTTCTTCTTCAGCTGAGTCTCTGAACTCTTTAAACTATGAGAATGTGTCAGATTTTTCTTTCATAAAGAAAACCCACACATACTTGGAGAAATCATCAATGAATGTTACCATGTACCGCATACCGTTAATTAACTGTTGCTTAACTGGTCCGAACACATCAGAGTGAACCAACTCCAACGGTTCTTTTGCTTTAAACTTTGACTCGTCATATGGTAATTGGTGTGCTTTACCATACTGGCATCCCGCACAGATCGTGTATGTTCTCACGTCTAGTTGAGAAAGCCCCTTAAGCATCGATTTCTTCACCATCACACTTAGCTTGGAATAGCTAACGTGACCTAACCGCATGTGCCATAGATCTGATGTCTCATTTTTTTCTTGTCCTGTCTACATATGCAGACTCTGCTGACATCAAGTAAATTGACTCCAAACGTCGTCCCTCCATTGTTGGTGTTTCTGAGATTTTGTCATCACGATAAACCTTCACATCTTGGGGACCAAATAAGACATAATGGCCTGATGATGTTAGTTGAGCCACAGATAGCAAATTTTTCTTCATTCCTGGGATATGATAAACATCTTGAATTTGCACATGGTTAGTATTATATCGAGGCGTAACTATCGTCTTACCGATGTGAGTTATCGGTAACCTTGAGTTGTTAGCTGTCACCACCACATGACCTCCATTGTACTCAGACAGGTTTTGTAACTTCTGTTTGTCACCCGTCATATGATTTGAGCAGCCCGAATCTACGATCCAGTCATTCTTGTAGTCAATCCGTTCTGGTGTTGTTACAATGAGAGTTAATTCTTCTTCCTCCGTAGCAAATAACACTTCAGCATCCCAACCATCTTCACTATTCTTCTTCAAACTGGAAGTAGCAATATTACTTTCAACAACCTTTTTCTTGGTCCAACAGTCTTTTGCCATGTGGCCCATCTTCCCACAATTGTAACACTTGCCATCGAACCTTCTACTATTACCGTGATTCTTAGAAGCTCCCCCTGAATGGGGGCCTCACTTTTCTTGGTATTTTTCACCTTGTCATCATCCTTTTTAGATCCACTACCAGTATACCGCTGAAAAGTGCCTCTGCTTTTGCTGGTGTAGAGCGCTTCCTCTTCACCCTTCAGCGAGACTCCTCCCATTTGCTTGACTATGGCTTCTTGACCTGCAAGCAAATTTTCGAACTCAACAAGCGATGGTTGTGTCGGCCATCCCTGTACAGCGGCAATAAACCCTCGATATTCGGGTCTCAACCCATGGACAATTATTCTTTTTATCCTGGCTTCCCCAATAGCAGCTGTCGGATCTAATTATGAAATTTTGCGGCATATCGACTTCACCTTGTGAAAGTATTGGGCAACCGCCATGTCATGTTGCACCATTGATAGAAGTTCATTCTCGAGAAATTGCAATTTTGTATCGTTCCTCTTCGAAAAGAGTATAACAAAAGTGTCACATGCTTCCTTTGGTGTTTTAGCATCCCGGATGTGCTCCAATATTTCTTCTTCAATTATGGTCTTTAAAGCAAACATTGCTTTGCCTGCTTTAATTTTCCACTTTCGCAAGATGCCATTGGCATCTTATGCTGCCGGTTGTGTAACTTCACCACCACCGACAACCTCCCAAAGGTCTTGACCTTGTAAGTATGACTCCATACATGTTGCCCACGTGTTGTAGTTTTTGTTGTTGAGCTTCTTGATTCCTCCAACTACTTGAAGATCACCCATCTTAACGGCAAGGCTTTGACTACACCGAACAAGCTTGAGTAACAAACGTGCAGAGTACTAAATTACTCTAAACACAAAGAAGCTCCACAAGGTTTGTAATAACCCCGACAATAATCTCAAGAAATCTTTTCTGATGTGGAAGATCAGTTAACAACTGCAGCCACAGAGCATACTCGGAATTTCAAGAGACTTTAAAAAAGTGGCTTGGATACCAATTGTTGAATCAAAAATAGAGTAAAAACTCTAATTGATTGAGAAGAAGAAAAAACTCTCTTTAGAATAATCTCACAAAATTGCAAAAGGGAAGAACTCTTAAGAAAACTTTCAAATTCTTATAATTAAGCTTTGATTGTTGGATGATAAAACTTAAATATAAGTAGGGTATTTATAGGTTACAAGAAACAATCTAAACCACTCATTAAAATAAGCACTAAATAATCTAAACCATTGAAATTAAAACATGAGAAAAATATTCAATTTTCACCTAACTAAATTGATGTAAGCAATGACATCAAATTAATTTAAGTGTGAACTTATTTAGGTTAATATTAAATTTTCAACAAGTAAATATCTTTTTTTCTTCTTCTTATAATTGATGAACGGGTAAATATCAATTATCATCGTATCGTTTTATAAGAAACAAATAATAAAGTACGTTGAAAAAACATAAACATATAAACTATGAATCTACACTAAAATTTAGATTAATAAAAATTTGTTAAAACGATTAAAATCTAAATCCAACAATATAATACTTAAAACAGAGTATAAACCACGGTAGCCAATCCTGATTGTTTGTCGACATAGACACAGGGGTATCCTCAATGTACCTAAATTTGACTATATTTTATATATTATATGTGGTCTTATCGCAACTCTTGTGTAAAAATACTCGTAAAGGGATTATGAAAAAGCCAAGTACATTGTAGTCTGTAGAAATGTTAGCTAAATTTAAAAGCATCGTGAAATAATTATTAACTATTAAAAGAAGGGAAGTCCCAGGTTTTGGTGGAGCCAATAAATTTGCCACTAAATTGTATGTTGCCACTAATCTCCTAATTTTAATGAGGTTTGATATTTGATTATAAGCTCAATATCTTTACTGGGCTTGGCCACGGTGTAATATTGTAATTTGCTAGATGATTTGTTTTGGGTATTGTAAATTGCGTGATCGCAACTCTAATCTCTTTTTTTTTTTGAAAAGGTATGTACTTAGTATTAAATAGACGAAAAATACAAAGTACGTCATAACAAAAGTTTTTCTAAAAAATCTCCCTAAACTTATATAAAAACTTATATGAAGTAAAAAGAGTGTTTTGGAGTGAACCAGCTATAATACACGAATCAGCAACAGAAACAAAATCTAACAACCAACCATGGGAAACAAACTAACAATTGTACAATACACATAATATCCACTACAGCAGCAGCCGAAGACCACCTCTACGTCCAGAATGCCTGAGACGGACCAACATTACACCATCACTCATAGCTAGCCAAACCAGTACAGCAAAACTATCATCTCCGATCAACCAGCAAACATATCCAGAATCACCATTTTCAAAAACTACCCCTGATACATAAACACCCTCACCTCACAGCATATGCAATTCAAAACAAACATCCCCTAATTATAGAGCACAACAACGAATCAAAATCAACCAGTGCAAACTACCGCCGAACCACAATGACTAATATACCAGAAGAGGAAGAAATAATAGAAGGATATAACCTGTAGAAAACCGAAGGTGAAAGAAACCTCTGAGGCCATTGACAGTGGCACCAAAGACCAAACCGCTGGATCCATATCCACTGCACCATTTTGCGTGGCAGCAGCATGAATGCTGGATCCAAAGCCACTGCACCATTATGTGTGGCACCAGCATGCAAGCAGATCAATAAATGAGATGGTTATGCCATGTATAGTTCGAATAGCATCTAATTTAAGGACAAAATTGCAGACTATAATCTTAAAAAGCGAAGACTATAAATATACGGACAACGGAATATAAAAGAGGGAGGGGGGGGGGAGAGAAAATATACCATTTCCCTTCGGTTAGACTTTTCCTCGGCATCCTCTTCTCCATCCCTCTGATCCCCGAGAATTCGTTCTTTCTAATTTATACATCGATCTTTCTCGTTATCATTTCGACAGTCTCCTAAATTACATATAATATAATACTAATAATATTTGCAAAAGAGGGGGACAAAGCGGGCTATGATTTTTTGAGCGGAAATGGGGATGATTTCGAGGGGAGTGATGCCTGTCTGCGGGAGTTTGTGCTTTTTTTGCCCGGCCTTGAGCACCAGATCCAGGCACCCCGTCAAACGTTACAAGAAATTTCTCACTGATATTTTTCCTCGATCTCCGGTTTCTGCCTTTTCATTATTTTATCCTTCCTGTTTAATTTTATAAGAATTTGCGTGGTGCTGATCATGTGTTTTTTTTCCCTTTTAAAAAAACACCAACTTTCGGCATTTTATTTGATAGGACGAACACCCTAATGAAAGAATGATCGTTAAACTATGTGAATATGCTTCCAAGAATCCTCTTCGTATTCCAAAGGTACGCTTTTTCACCGATACTTCTGTTTTTTCGACGTTTCGAAATCCTCATTTTTGTAAAAGGTTGTATGCTATAATGTAATTTTTGATGTACACATCCAAAAGCTGAGATGATCTTGATTTACCGATATCCTTGTTAGTTTTCAAATTTTCAATAAGCTATCGTGTCATAATTTAGGCTTTCGGTGTTCTCTTTGTTTTTTGTTCTATTTGATTACAATTTTTTATTGATTTTTCCATTGATGTTCAAAATCAAAAGTTTCAGTCTTTTGATTAGTTTTTTCTTTTGATCAGATAACAAGTTCATTAGAGCAGAAATTTTACAAGGATTTGCGAACTGAGCAATTTCATTCCGTAAAAGTTATTATGCTTGTCTACAAGAAGTTGATTATTTCTTGTAAGGATCAAATGTGAGTTACTGTTCAGCTTGCTTAATGTGAGAATGCAATAAAGTCACAGAGTTATATAATTCCTCTGCATACTAGTGCTGCATTTGCCAGAAAATTCATCTATTTCATGTTTTGGTTGACCTCATACTTGGATATTTTGAAAAGTGATACTTAGCTATTAATAAATATCTCAGGTCAATCGATATCTTTTTTCAAATTAATTATATCAGCTACATGCAGTAATATCTACGAGCATATAAGATTTTAGTTAAAGTTTGGAAGTCTAATGGGTCAAAGTGTTATATTGGGTTTTAAAAAAGCCAGCAGTAGCAGGAATTATGAGATACTAGGAAACCATTGCAGCAAATGGAGCTTTGACAATTAAATATTTATTGAATCGTAATTTATTGTCTGGATGGTTTTTATTCAAACAATAGATATTTAAATGCTACTTTCTTGAGATTTTAGGAAACCATTGCATCAAATTGAGCTTTGATAATTTCCATAGATATGTCTAGAGCACTAAAAAGTGTTGATATATGTTTATTGTTATATACTATATTGCAGGCCTTTATTTGCTAGTAGCTTTCTTACCATTATACAAGTCCTGCTGGATCAAACAAGAATGGACGACACACGAGTATTGGGATGCCAAGCTCTTTCTGTTTTCGTGAATAATCAGGTAGAAGCTGTTGGTAGACTCTTCCGACTTTATAGCATAACTTCTACATAAAGGTTGTGATTTTTTAGTTCCACTAAAACCTCTTACGCTAATCTTTCACTATTTTTGACTAGCCAGAGGGACGGTACTTATATGTTCAACTTAGATGGGTTAATTCCAAAACTTTGTCTTTTAGCTCAAGAAATGGGAGAGGACGGAAGGGCTCACCATTTGCGTTCTGCTGGTCTTCAAACCCTTTCATCAGTGGTAATTTTCTACAACTGAAAATTCTAAGCTAATGCCTGTTATTTTCTCTTTATCTTCTTTGTAGTGACAATATTATTATGCTAGTTTTATTAGGACCATCTCCAAGTATCGTGTCTTTCAAACTTTTAAAATTTGTAATCACTTTTAAGTACGAATTTGGCATCCACTGGCATTGTAGAACTTCATGGTCTTCTTCCTATACGCATTAAGAATTTTACGCTATGGTTATCATTGCTTATTTTACAAGAACCATTCTTAATTTTTCTCATTCTTCTGGCCTATACACTAGGACCACAGAAGAAAAAGGAACAAATCATGTATTGAAGGTCAAAGTAATGAATGAAGGGCATATAAGATATAGATTTTGTTATTTTTGTAGTTCAGGTACTGAGTGGAAAGAGCATAAAACAAACAATATATATTCCATAGATAGAAAAACAACTCAATCCAAATAGGAAATTAGGATTTTTATCTTTCTATTTTCTTTAGTTTTCTTCTTATCTGTCAATATTTGCATTCCCTTTACTATGTCTTTAAACGTCTTAATTTTATATTTCATTTTCTTCTCTTATTTAGCAAACTTTAATTTTACTATAATTGTATTGAAACATTTTAAATAAATACGTAAATATATATACAATATATAAAAAATTAAATTGATACAAAATAGTCTAATACATAATTCAGAAGACTTTCAAATAAATAAATAAATAAATAAATAAATAGATGCATATGTAATAGATATAAAATTATTTTTTAGATAATTAATTATTTTCAATGAAAGTATTTATTGGTAAACGATTAAAGTACTATTCTAACTTTACAAAAAAGGTGTCTTCTTAATTTATACTTTAAAATAATTGGATAAAGTATATAATGGTTTCAGGCTATAAGGTGTTGGTTTATTACGAAAAATAGTGAGTTTGGACAATAATAAATAGTCGGATAATCAATTTGTAACTTTTAATAGTTGGATACTTAAAAAAACGTATTATAGTCAAATGATCATTTTATAACTTTTTAATAGTTAGAGAACTTAATAAAATAATACTCTATAGGTGATGGACCATTTGTGTACTTTACCCTTATTAAAAATAGTTATATTTTAAAAATACTTTAATTAACTTTAAAAAAATTATTGAGGTAATTGATTATTTTCAATAAAATTTATTTATCGGCACACAAAATTAATTTATTTAGTTAACCTTATATATATGCTTTAATTTTAGTGTATTTTTTCAACTGAGATTGTTTCACTTTAATTATGTGACATCAATTCAATTAGACACTTTAAAATATAAATTAAAAAGATTTTCTAAAAATACACTTTTGTTACTATTTTATAAAAGAAATCAACAAACTAACATAAGTGTAGTGGTAAACGACTTGTATACTAAGTATAGATAAATTTGTAAAAAGAAAGAAATATTTTAGGTAAACAATTTCTTTTGTGAAAATTAAATTATCAAATTATTAGAGTTTAAGTGGTAAAAGGCTCGGGTATAATTAAATTTTAAAATATTTATAAAAGTATGAAAATACAAAAAGAACCTTATAAAAATATTTATTATATTTGAAATTAAATTTTAATAACGAACTAAGTTGGTGTAGTACACCAAAATCATTCAGGATTTTTTTTGGATAATCAATCATTCAATATTTTAATTATTAGTATAGATAGATACATTTATAAAATAAAAGAAATATTTTATGTAAAGAAGTTCATTTGTAAAAATTATATTATCAAATTACTAGGTGAAGTATTGAACTACTTGTATAGAAAAACTTTTGATTATGTGTTTGAATCTCAATTAATAAATTTTAGTAGTTTTATTTGAAGTTTTATTATAAAAGTATGAAAAGGTAAACCTTACAAAAAATAATATTATACTTTCCTCAAAAAAAAATCTTATACTTGAAAAAAGGGGTAACTTTATAATATTACCAAAAGAATTGGTGTCTAAATTGACTCATGACACCAAAGTTGGGCAGGGTTTTAATTATTAGTATTGATTTCTAAATTTAATGTCCTTGATCTTAAGAATTTTAAAGACTTGGTGTTGCCTTGTACACTTGTTATATTATATGGTAAATTTTATCTTAAAAGCAGAATACGTTTCAATTAGTAAGGGTGTTAGGGGTGGGAATTTAGAAGTTAAAACTGGTAAAAAAATAGTCTTATATTCTAAATTGTTTATATCGGGAAATAATCAAATCAATGGTGACAAAAAGTGGTACCTTCTAGAGTTGTATGGTAACCTTTAGCTTCTTCAAAATTCGGATAGAAACTCTAATATCATACTTTTTTCTCTCTAGTCAAGTTCCCATGTTCATTATTACATGGTTCAAAATGATCGATTCTCTTTTTGTTTTGTTTTTATATTAGGGATAAAGCAACTTTTAATCTTTTAACTAGACAACTTCTCCCAATTTGGCCCTGCACTTTTTTTGCTCCACATTCCATGAACTTGGATTTCTGGCCCATTTTAAGTCCTTTCAATGATGTCGCACAGGAAGAGTGCCAGGTAGCATCATCTCAGAAATGCCACATCATCAAAAATACTAAAATGAGAAAGTTTTCATAGACTAATATGGACCAAAACAAAATTCAGGGAGCAAGTTGAGAAAAATTGTCAAACTCGGGAACTAAAACTTGTCTTATCTCTTTAGATTATTACTAATTATATATAATGACTTGTCCTTACTATTAGATTTAGATAATTTAGTTTTCCACCATAATAATAAAGAAGAATGAAACTAACAAACATAATTGTAATAAAAGATTTACTTCTTTTACAAACTTGTATTTCTTCTGACAGGTTTGGTTCATGGGAGAGTTCTCTCATGTCTCAGCAGAATTTGATAATGTGAGCTTTCTTTGGACACGTATATATTTTTTTTAAAATTATTTGTATACTTATTTCTATCTCTCTTGGTGCCATTTTGTGGTATGGAATGCCATGCTGATGCAGTTTCATAAATTTTCATCATTAAGTTGAGATATGAATAGGGAGCTAGGTTGAAGACTATGCTTCTTAACAAAACAGGAATTGATCACTTTGAAGGTTGTTTAAAAATGCTTGATGTCACTCTTCATGTGATTACTATGTTGGAGAAGAAGAAAAAAGTGGATAAAAAAATCTGTGATTTATTGTGGAATTGTAAGTGGTTACACTTAGTTGAAGAAATCACTACCATAAGGCTTTGACAACAAAACAAGAAAATAACATTAATTTAGAACCTTCGACGTAATAAAATGAGTAATTTTACTCCAACTAAAACTCTTACGCAATGTCCCACTTTTGATAATCAATGTGGATTATAAAATCTCTACTTATGCAAAGACTTTTTACCTACAATCTATATACTACAGTTGCAACTTCAAAACATCATGGAAGTAAATGATAATTAATGAACAACGAACTTAAAACCACCAGTAAACTTAATGAGAACCTCTCATAAATCATAATCTGGTTGAAATAAGAATTTACTAAGTTGTTTTGCTCTGTCTGTACTATCTACAACATTGTTAGCTATAAGGTGCTATATTTAGAGTACCCCCGCTAGCTTGTATCTGTATATTTGATACGTGCTTCAATTTTTATGTTCCAATGTACTTTATTTAAGGTTGCTTAAAATTTCCCCAAAAAACACCAGGTTGTTTCAGCGGTCTTGGAAAATTACAGAGGTTTAGAAACATCAGATGATAATATCAATGACAAGCAAGACACACAGAACTCCTCTATTAAAGACAATTTCTCTTCCACAGATGCCATTACAACACTTTCTTGGAGGAGTATTGTGACTGAGAATGGAGAATTTAATGTGCCTGCGTAATTCTTCGTCTCCAACTTTCGATTGTTGTAGTTTCTATACTTGGGGAATGCTTAATGACTAATACGCAGTTCCCTTTTCCGGTTAATATTATAGGGAGGAGGTGGAGAATCCCAGATTTTGGTCTAGAGTTTGTCTACATAATATGGCCAAGTTAGCTAAGGAAGCTACAACTGTCCGACGTGTCTTGGAATCTTTGTTTCGTTTTTTTGATAATGAGGAACTGTGGTCTATCCAGGATGGGGTAGCTCTTTCTGTCTTGAAAGTCATGCAGTTGATAATTGAAAAATGCGGTACTTTGCTTCTTTAGATTGATATGAATTGTTGCCTTTTAAAGTTTAAGGAGCCTTTCTCTCCAATAGAATTAATTTTAATCTTTTGAGTGAATTTTGTTGCGTTATTCTACAGGGGAAAACACACACTTTTTGCTGTCCATCTTAATAAAGCATCTTGACCACAAGAATGTACTGAAGAAGCCCAGTATGCAGCTACATATTGTGCACGTTGCCACTTCCCTTGCTCAACAAACAAAGGTTCAGCCTTCTGTGGCTATAATTGGTGCATTAACTGATATTACAAGACACCTACGGAAAAGCATACACTGTTCACTTGATGATTCCAATCTGGGAGCTGAGGTGATTGAATACAACCAAAATTTTCGAGCAGCTGTAGATGAGTGCCTTGTGCAGTTATCAAACAAGGTGACGTTGGTTTCCACGTCAGTAACTGGTTTATAAATGTTATCTATAATTGAAATATTGTTCAACAGATATACAATTGATACAAATAAAATGTGACATATGGACAGGGCAAGATAATTCCAACCTAACTCATGAATACAATATCTTCATTATACTGTAGTTGCAGCTTGAAATTATTTGAAATTAAATGTATAACTAAGATACCTTGCAATGGCAGGTTGGGGATGCAGGTCCTGTCCTTGATATGATGGCTGTGATGCTGGAGAACGTACCAAACATTACTCTTATGGCCAGAACCTTGATTTCTGCAATTTATCGTACTGCTCAAATTATGGCATCTGTTCCAAATCTATCATACCAAAATAAGGCAAGGCTAATAAGGATTTTACTTACTGTGCAGGATATATGCCTCTTTTGTTTTAGTCCCCTTTTTGTCGTTCTTTTTTAAATATGAACCTTGTAGGCTTTTCCTGAGGCATTGTTTCACCAATTGCTTCTAGCGATGGTCTGTGGAGACCATGAAACAAGAGTTGGTGCTCACCGCATATTTTCCGTTGTTCTGGTTCCTTCATCTGTTTGCCCTTGTCCTCATACTGCTACGCCTTCTTCAAAGAAAGCCTCTAATTTGCAGAAGACACTCTCAAGAACTGTTTCCGTATTTTCCTCTTCGGCTGCACTCTTTCAGAAGTTGGGTACGGAAGATATAGAAATATCTGGGGACAACAAGGTTGGGAACACCAATGGCTTTTCCATGCAAGACAGGTTGACTTCTAAAAAGCAGCCATCAACCATAAATGAAAATGGGACTGTAGGTGCTGACAGTGCAAAACTTCATAGTCCAAGCATGCTGAACCGGCTCAAGTCAAGTTACAGCCGAGCTTACAGTATAAAGATGAATCAACCATCTACAATAGAAGATGAAAAATCAACGAATAGTGCAGTTGAAAATCTAGTTATGCCTTCACATTCTTGCCTTTCAACCAGCCATGCACAATTATTTTTTTCTTTTCCTTTATCTGACGTGAACTTTCTTTTTGTTTGTCAAACCATTTTAGGCTTTACCTCTTCGATTGAGCAGTCATCAAATAACTCTTATGCTTTCATCTATTTGGGCACAATCTCTCTCTCCTTTAAATATGCCTGAAAATTTTGAAGCAATTGCTCATACCTACAGTCTGGTGTTACTATTTGCACGAACAAAGGTATTACATTATTCTTAGTGACTCCATGAATTAGAATTCATGATGCATCCTTCTTTTCTTATAAGCTTTCTTAAAAAGTCTGTTTGTGGTGTCTGTTTGTCATGCATCTATCTATACGTACAAACAAGCACGCATGTGCATGTATGTTTCTGTATATATATTATATTTTGCAATATAATGCAAGGTTGAGCAAAATATATGTGGTTATTGGGCAATTATTCCTTTTATTTACCTGGAGTAAGTTCTAGATAGTTTTCGGTCGTCAATTACTTGATGTGTGTGAGGTTGAATTTAAGGATTTGCTAAGTCAAATATATTTGAATAACTACCAACTATCGGTTAGTCTAGTAGGATGAGACATTAGATCTTTTAAGCAAAATAATGATTTAAATCTTAATATTTGCAAATGGAGTAAACTGGGTTAGGATCGTCCCCTATATTTAGCCTTTGCAATATCCAATCCGTACTAATTGATTAATAAATTGGTTGCAAGCTACTGTTCCTTGACTTGGATAAAACCCATGACCATCTAAGTTTTACCAAGGCTGGCTCTGTTTCCTTGATATTTATGTACAAGTTGCTTCAGTTCATACAATTATGGCTTCTAAATAATATAGAAACAATAAGGGCTAGAATCTATTTAATGAATCTTAAGAACTGACAACTCTTGGAAACGGATGGACACATTTGAAGGGCATAACAGGAAGTTTATGCGCTTTTAAGGGAATTTGGAATGCAAATATGATATTTTTCATCATATTTGTGTACACTAAAATATTGCACTACTACTTCAAACTTCTCTATTCTGTTTTTTGGATTAGTGGGTACTAAAATATTATAAACATGTTCTTATTATAAAAAAATAGTGCTTGATTTTTGTGGACACAAAAATGTGATATTGATCAATCAGAGAGCTACTTCTCCCGTTTACTTTTTTTCTTTTCTCTTTTCCAAATTAATTACTTGAAGTTTCTTCTTCTTAAATAGTTTTACTGCTTTTTAGACGAATTATGCATTCATCTTCAGCTATACTTTAAAAGATAGTTCACTCTTTCAATTCAGGTGTTTTCTTACGTTGCATCATGTTTTGCAGAACTCCTGTACTGATGCTATGATTCGAAGCTTTCAGCTGGCCTTTTCCTTAAGAAGCATATCTCTGGAAGGAGGTAGGCCTTTGTTTATTACTGAACATATTACGTGATCTTAAACAACATTACAAAGATTAAAAAGTAATGAATGGAGGTAGATGTAACTCTATGCTTATTTAGTTCAATTAATAAATTTGTTTTTCTTCTTATTGATCCTCTTACAAAGTTTCCGATTGATTTTTCCTTTTTTAGGACAGTAACACTATTTTGCTAAGTTAATGTAGTGCAGAAACTAGATTACATGAGTAAGAACTAAAGAAAAAAATAGGGAGCAAATTCAAATTCTCAAATTATTGTTTTGGAAATAAACAGAAAACGGTAAAAACAGAAATCAGAATCACTTTGGATAGTTTTGAAGAGGAATATACTAAAATTTTAATGACTCAGAGCTAATCATCTTTTTAATTTCATCCTCTGGATCCATCTTTTCATTTAACGATGTCGTTGATTTTTGGTAGGGCCACTGCAGCCATCACGTAGGAGGTCCCTCTTTATCCTTGCTACTTCTATGATCATCTTCTCATCAAAAGCCTACAACATACCCCCACTTTTCCCCTGTGCTAAAGCTTCACTTATGGAGAAAACGGTATGTGCAGAACTATTGATTGATATTTTCTTGGTTTATTTTCTTAATCCCCTTATATGGTCATGCCACATTTTTATCTTATTCAAATCTTAGCTGACTTTATTCTTTTATCTTTGTTTTAGGCTGATCCATTTCTGCAATTGGTCGATGACTGCAAGTTACAGATTACTAATCCAGGAAAAATATATGGATCAAAAGAAGACAATGAAGATGCTTTGAAGTCACTTTCAGAGATACATTTAGCGGAGAACCAATCTAAAGAATCACTTGCAACCATGATAGTGAAGTTTCTTGGCAACTTGTCTGATGTACGGTCTTTATCTGCCGTGCTGCAAATTAGTTGTTTCACATTAAGGAATAAGTACGAAATGCTAACATTTTAGATCATTCTGGCAGCAAGAATCATCCAAAACAAGAAACCAGTTACTTAGCAATTTCATTCCTGATGATGGATATCCCTGTGGAACAAATCTGTTCATGGAGACACCTGCACAAACATATGAATCTGGATCAGCAGATAACCTATCTCCTGAAAAGGCAATCATGTTTATCCTTCATTTTGCTCTGCTCCCAACTCTCCACGTAGAATTTCCTAACAAGTTTCTGATGTTGTAATGTGCAGGTTGAGCCTCCATTATTCACAGTAGACGATGATGTTTTACCTAGCACGTTCAAAGGTCAAACATGTGACGGCTCATGTTTGGCATCTGAGCCTCAAAATCTCCTGAGTGTTGAAGAACTTCTTGATGCAGTGAGCCATTTGTTGCTTGATGCTATCTATTAGTTAATCTACTAGAATATACATAGGAAAGACCATTGATACTCAAATGTATTTGTTATCTATTTACAGCTTTCAGAGACAGCACATCAAGTTGGAAGACACTCTGTGTCAGCCCCTCCTGACATGCCGTATAGTGAAATGGCTGGGAACTGTGAGGCCCTTCTGGTGGGGAAGCAGCAGAAGATGTCTGCTGTAATGAGTGCTCAACAGAATCGAGAAAGTTTTGGGAGTATTTCTGCAAAGGAGGTGCAACCTCATTCGCATGTTGAATCAAGTTCCTTTAAGGTACTAACTTATCGAGTGATTGCATCAAATGTATCTTTTGCAAGCAAAACATTGTTTTTTTTCTCTCTTTTCTTTTCCCAAGTACTGCTGAAATAGGAAATGACTTCTTAATGATTGGAATTTGGGGGCATTTAATATAAATTTCAGTATATAGCATTATTAATCGTGTTCAGAAACTTTCACCTCACCGTGTCAGAGGGTGCCCACACAAAGCCTCTTTTACATTAGCTCACCATAATTAATAGCAGCTTAGGTATTACTTTGTCCAATATAATTTTTCTCAAAAACACTCCGCCATAATACTAATAGTTAGGCTGGGATTTTATTTCTTTTATTTCAGCCCCTACGAGAAAATGAATTTGTGTATTGATCTCTTCATACTATGAAGAATATGTTGTATATCTAAGATCTATATTTGGTGGTAGAAGGATAAGTCTAAACCATTCGCTACTGCTACCCATATTGATGTAAAACATTTTTTGTAAATTGTAGAGTGAAAATCCATTTCTTGATGAAAATATTGGTGTTGGCTCTTTAAATCAATCTGGTGGCACTAGTCTGAAGCTTTGTGCAACCGAGCACCACCATCAGCCCTGCTTTCAGCTTCCTGCATCAATCCCATATGACAATTTTTTGAAGGCTGCTGGTTGCTGATAACCTAGAGAAAGAATTGAAACGTAGGGTCGTAATCAGGCTCGAGCTGTGGATGCACCCGTGTTGGGCCTGGGACTAACTAATTTTGTAATTTGATACCCACACCATGTCGATTGTTGATGGTTTCATTCATCATTTTGTCTATTCATAGTGTTATTCCTCCCCCCCCCCTTTTGTATTCTTTAAATTGTCGGGTGCAGTTGGGATGGTCATTGCAGGGTTGACTTTAAGTGCCCTTTACTTTCACTTGTGTTTCATTTGAAACCAAGGAAGGTTCATTCGTCGCTTGCAGATGTTGAGATATTTTCTCTTCCTTTTGACAAATCAAGGTTATGTAAAGATTGTTTTAAAAAAATAAAACCTAAAATAAATAAAAAAAATACTTCTTCTATTTTAAGGAATGAGAATATGATTATAGCTTGGGTTATCCTAAATTTTGCGGGAATTAGTTTGAGTTCGTTTGGGTTTACCAAATCAATGCTTAATCCAGGACACGAAGCTGCTATGATCAGAGTAAGTAATGCTTCAAAATCCGACACTTAATTCAAAGATTAAGGAGGAAGAATATTAATCAATACTATTTTTTACATCTTGTGCGCTGCCTAATTATTTTTATTTTGTATATATATATATTTTTGTTTGATTAATGTAAGCTATTATCATTTAAATATATAAGATTATTTTTCTCTCTTTATGTTTTAATTAGTTTTGTTTATCTGACAAAATAATTTTAATAAATTATAATAAGATATTACTTTTTAAAATATTTTCTTTTATTTATGTAAAACACAACTTTAAATTTATTATATTTTTTCATTATAAACAGTTAAGTGACACTTGTTATAAAATTGTTTGAAATATAATTAGATTACGAATTAATAAAAAAACTTATTATGTTTCCTAATTCAATAATAAAATAATATTTAGAGTAAACTATAAAAATAGCCCTCAAACTTTTAGGGTGCTTGCATTTTGATCACCCAACTTTTAAAACTTGCAATACAGTCATCGAACTTTTAGTTCGTTTCCAAAAAATCCCTGCCATTACCTCTGTAAGTTTTTTGTTGATGTGGCAGTTAACCTGCCGTCAACTCCATTAGAATCCAGTAAATGAAGAGTTTCTCTCAACACTGGAAATTACGAAGCCTCAGCTACATTAACTATTGAGAAAATAGTTGGAGTCAAATTTAAGGTGACAGATAGGGAGGTGGTGAGAAGGATGGAGGAATTAGAGGCATAAACAGAAGCTGAGGAACTAGCAATAATTCATGATATGACCACTTATGTTGTCCTCGTGGTTATGATTTTATACTTGTATCATCAAGATACTATGATGATACAATATGCATTGTAAGGCATGTCTTTTGGTAGTGACTAGTTGAGTTTTTCAATTCCACCAATAGATGTTTTATCTTTCACTTGGACTTATTTATGCATGTCTCGCAGGGGTGATGTTGTTCAAGTAAACACTTGGGTCAGTGCATCGGGAAAGAATGGCATTCGAAGAGATTGGCTTATCAGTGATAGTAAAACTGGTGAAATTTTAACAAGGGACACTAGGTAGGACAATCAATTGTATTCTTTCGTGATATACTCCGTGCCACTTGTTTGTCTCAGAAGAAAAATATGGGAATAGTAGCCAGAGAAATTATTTACAAAGTTTTTGAAAATTTGTCTGGCATTTTATTTTTTTTCTCAGAATTAATATCCTTTTTATGTGTGCCTGCAAATTATCAAATGGTGATTCGGGACTGACTTACCTAGATTCCCCTTGATTTGATTCTGGTTTTGGTGATATGCAGTGTGTGGGTGATGATGAATAAGGTGACTAGAAGGCTATCTAAAATTCCAGAAGATGTCCGAGGAGAAATAGAACCCTTTTTTATGAATTCTGTGTTGAAAATCAATCCACTTTCGGTGCATGATTGAAAGTTGAAAAAAAAATTATTAAATTTTTCAAAAATTATAGGCACCGAAAATTCAAGCTTGATTTTATTGATTTTTTGACAATGGTAAAAGCTAAATTTTAGCCATTGAAATTTAAGGTATTTATAAATTAGTCCTTAAAGCTTCAACTATAAATACCCTAGCTCATTTAGCTTCAAAATCATCCCAAAGCATTCTAGCTTTCTTCCAATACTAGAGAGAATTTAGAGAGTTTCTTGAGAGTTATTTTCTCTTTTTTTATCAAGAGAGAATTATCATTGTTTTCTCCTTGGTAGATCGAGAGAGGTTGTAATTCCTATTTTTCTCATAGTGAAGTTCTTCTACCGTTGCCTGTGGTTTTTACCCTATATTATTTAGGGGTTTTCCACATAAATTTTGTGTCTCTTTTATCTTCAATTTTTATTTTCTCAAATTATCAGTTGCATTTTTGCTTTATCCGATAGCCGTCTTCCGCAACAATTGGTATCAGAGCCAGATTTGAGTGTGTAATATCTGCTTGTTGTCTTTGTGGTTGCCACCAAAAGGTGGATCCTCCAACATAAGAAAGTAAGAAGGTATTACACATTCTTTGAAAATTCCAGAGAACTATTCACGATAGTGAAATAGTGAGAACTATCCGTAAAAGAAGCTGTGGCAACGAAATTTGATATTGAAAAATTCAATGGGAGAAATTTCTCATTGTGGAAATTGAAGATGAAGGCCATCCTGTGAAATAGTGGGAATTATCCGTAAAAGAAGCTATGGCAACGAAATTTGATATTGAAAAATTCAATGGGAGAAATTTCTCATTGTGGAAATTGAAGATGAAGGTCATCCTGAGGAAAGACGGTTGTCTAGCAGCTATCAGTGAAAGGCTGGTGGATTTCACAGATGACAACAAATGAATCGAAATAGACGGGAATGCTATGGAAAACTTTCATCTAGCATTAGTAGATGAAGTATTGTCAAGCATCGAGGAGAAAAAGACAGCTAAGGAGATATGTGATCATCTCACCAAACTGTACGAGGCCACATCACTGCACAATAAAATTTTCCTTAAGAGAAAATTGTACACTCTCCGTATGTCAGAATCTACTTCAGTGACGGAGCTCTTAAATACACTGAACACTTTATTTTCTCAGCTTACATCTTTAAGCTGTAAAATAGGAGAACAAGAACGTGCTGAACTTCTACTTCAAAGTCTACCGGATTCGTATGATCAACTCATCATCAACTTGACAAACAGTAATGTCACTAGTCTAGTCTTTGATGACGTTGCAGCTGCTGTTCTACAAGAAGAAAATTGGCGCAAGAACAAAGAAGACAGACAAGTAAATCTGTAACAAGAAGAAGCGTTAACAACGATGAGAGGGAGATCAACAGAACGTGGCCAAAGCAGCAGTCACAAACATGGTAGATCGAAGTCGAGAAGCAAGAAGAATTTAAAGTGCTACAACTGTGGAAAGAAGGGTCACTTAAAGAAGGATTGTTGGAGTCTAAATAAAAACTCCAATCCACAAGGCAATACCACAAACACTTCAGATGATGGAGATGCTCTATGTTCTGAAGCGTCAACCATCGTGGAAGGCAGAAAAAGATTTGCAGATATATGGCTCATTAATTCAGGAGCAACATATCACATGACCTCAAGAAGAGAATAGTTTCATCATTATGAACCTGTCTCAGGAGGATCTGTGTATAGTTGCAATGATCATGCCTTGGAGATCGTTGGTGTTGGAACCATCAAATTGAAGATGTATGATGGAACAATTAAAGTTTTTCGAGATGTGCAACACGTGAAAGGCTTGAAGAAAATTTTATTATCCTACGGATTGTTGGATAATAATGCAAGCAAGATTGAAACACGGAAAGGAATCATGAAGGTGTTCTGTGGAGCGCTTGTGGTGCTGAAAGGTTAAAAGATAGCAGCAAACTTGTACATGCTGAAGGGAGAGACTTTTCTAGAAGCAGAAGCCTCTGTTGCCTCATGTAGTTCAGATTCTATAATGCTATGGCATCAGAAACTTGGACACATGTCAGAACAAGGAATGAAAGTCTTTGTGAAGCAAAAGCTACTTCTAGGCTTAATGAAGGTATCACTTACTTTGTGTGAGAATTGCATAACAAGTAAGCAGCACCGGTTGAAATTCAACACATCAAATTCTAGAGGTAAAAGTGTTCTAGAATTGGTTCACTCTGATGTATGGCAAGCACCAGTTATATCCCTAGGCGGAGCAAAATACTTTGTCTCATTTATTGATGACTACTCCAGGAGATGTTGGGTGTACCCTATTAAGAAGAAGTTGGATGTGTTTTCAACTTTCAAAAACTTTAAGGCGCAGGTGGAACTTGATTCTGGAAATAAGATCAAGTGTTTCAGAACAGATAATGGAGGAGAATACACAAGCGAAGAATTTGATGACTTTTGCAGGAAAGAATGCATCAAAAGACAGTTCACAGTGGCGAACACTCCTCAACAAAATAGAGTGGCAGAGCGGATGAACAGAACCTTGTTAGAAAGAACAAGAGCAATGTTGAGGGATGCAGGCCTAGAAAAATCATTCTGGGCAGAATCAGTCAATACCGCCTGTTATTTGGTGAATCGAGCTTCATCAACTGCAATAGAGCTGAGGACACCAATGGAGATATGGACTGGTAAACCAGCTGATTATTCAAACCTCTATGTATTTAGAAGTATTGTGTACGTGATGTACAACTCCCAAGAAATTTCAAAGTTGGATCCAAAATCCAGGAAATGCAAATTCTTGGGGTATGCTGATGAAGTAAAGGGGTATCGCTTGTGGGATCCCACTGCCCGCAAAGTGATCATCAGCAGAAATGTTATCTTTATAGAAGATAAACTACAAAGAAAAGAAGACGATGATAGCACTGAAAAATCAGAGACTACTCAGATACATGTGGAAAAAGAGTTTGAACAAAGAGATTCTTATGAAGCAGAACCAGCACATGATGAACAAGAACCAGAGAGTTCTGAAGCTCCAACAACTCGTCAATCAGATCGTGTGAGAAGACGTTCCAATTGGCACTCAGATTATGTTATAGAAGATAATATTGCATACTGCCTTTTAACAGAGGACGGTGAGCCATCAACATACCAGGAGGCAATAAACAGCTCAGATGTTTCACTGTAGATGATGACGATGCAAGAAGAAATTGAAGCCCTTCATAAAAATAATACATGGGACCTTGTGCCACTACCACAAGGAAGGAAGTCAATTGGTAACAAATGGGTCTTCAAAATTAAGATAAATGGTGACGATCAAGTGGAGAGGTATCGTGCAAGACTGGTGGTCAAAGGATATGCTCAAAAAAAAGGTATTGATTTCAATGAAATTTTTCCCCCT